CTAAAGACCACAGAAATAGAAATACAGAATAAAAAAAAAAATCCAACAAAGCACTGGTATAATGTGTCTATCAGTGCATAAATTGTTGTGATTAGGCAATAATGAACTTCACATTGACCTGAGAGACTTTGACAACAGCCATCATTTTGCCTAATACACATCATTCAACATTTTAGGGGAGACTGAAAATTATAAACTGATCCTCGGAGACTTCAGTGGTGGCAATGCAGGTAAGGAGGATCCAAGGGATAAACTGGAGCTTCCAGCAAGGCAGGGGTGATCTGCAGATGAAATTTTGTATTATATAGTGGCAAGACATGAAATGCTTTTTGCATCATGCAAATGATCTTGTTTCCTCTGTCCTATAAGGGACTTCACAGGACCTTTCATGGGCTGGCACTGCTAGGGATGCTCAGAGCACAGGTAATAGAGCATCCAGCATAATCACAGAGCCCCATGAAATACCACCCCAGAACATTACTGATGCTCCTGGGTTTACAAGTTGTCCTCAGACCAAGGTAGCTAATCCTGAAGACTAAAAAGGCATAGCATAATCTAATAATACCCCCTGGAGATCTGTGAAGCTCTCACTCCATCAGGTATCCAGAATTTGTTGTACCAACTAAGCTTTGTATTTGCAAAGGGAAACTGATGCAGCAACACTTTGCTGAAGAGGGAACTGGGTATGGAATTATTGGACACTTAACATAGCAACTGATAGCTGTTTTCATGTCTCGGTTTTCTAGCACTTCGGACAGGACGCTATCACAAGCAGGTAACAACAGCAAGAGAGATACAAGACAGACATAAGCATCTTTGATCCCAGAGACTTTGCTGCCAGTCCGAACTGCCTCCTCCACTCTTGCTCAACAGGTCCTCGCCACCCTTGGCCAGAGGAAGGAGAGGTGTGAGGGCAGGGACTTTGCCCCGCTGCAGAGGACTGCACGTCCCTAGAAAGCCAGAAAGGATGTGCAGGATGGACCGGCCATGGTGGTGGGGACAGGGCTCTAGTGACACACAGAAGCTGGAGTTTTAACAAAACTTGTTGGTTTTCTCCACAGAGGATTCATTGGTCAAACACAAAAACATGCCATTTTCGACCAAAGACTGTGATAACAATGCATACTCTAATAACTGTATTGTAACCTACAAAGGTGCATGGTGGTACCACCAGTGCCACAACTCCAGCCTCAATGGTTTTTACCACCATGGAGCTCATTACAGTTTTGCAGATGGCATCAACTGGCAGACAGGCAAAGGATGCAAATACTCCTACCAGCTGTTGGAGATGAAATTCAGGCTAACATAGCCTGGCAGGAAGGCTGCAGTTTATCTGTGGCTTTCAGGAAATTTTTCAGTGACACAGCTTGTTGCCATCAGAGCTGGATTTCAGCTGGATTTTAGCTCTGTGTGGGACAACAGTCCAACTCCAGCAGCACTCAGTCCTTGGTCTTTACTCCTAGCTATGGCTAAAGGAAAAGAAAAAGTCACTTTCTACAGGAGTCATTTATGCTGAAACTAGCAAAACTAAAATAAAGTAAATGTTTTATTAAAACCTTATACTCTTCTGAGCAACTGAAGTCACTCAGTAGTCCTACCAAGGCCACAATGGATATCAAATCAGTGAACAAAACACTGGACTGAGCAGACCATCAGCCAAACCATTAACACTGAATCTGCACCTTTCCTCTCCAGGCTCAGCTGAACACTGTCACTCTAGATGATGCTATTAAACAAGCCTGAAAAGATTTACAACAGAGAAACTGCAATAGAGTCCAGCCCTGCAGGAAACCAGGGAAGTCTGTCCCTCAGCTCTCCTGAAAATCCAGTCCTTATTCACCATATAAAAAAGTCCAGCATGTCTTTATGGCTTGTATTGCACAATGTCTGGGGGGAGCCAGAAAATGTGGACTGGGCTAACAGTTGTGCTTGACATACAGCACTGCAGATAGCAGTGCCTGTTGTGGAAAAAACTTTCCTACTCTAAGCTCTGTGGCTGCTTAACTCTGCAAAGTCACTGAAGGCAAATCAGGAGAACGTGAAAATTCCCCACTGGAGAGTAAGGAAGCAAATATTGTTATGCAGTGATCACTAAAAAATGGGACATTTGAGGCCTGAGTGGGGATAACAGGAAAAGTATATGCAAAACCTTCACCAAGAACCAAATAATTCACCTCATGCAGGTATAGCTTCCAGTTTTGTGACATTTCCAACAACAGGCAAATTGTTGGAGCAATTATCCTGCTGTTTAGCTCTTGCTGTCCTTGCCTGTTTGGCATGCATACCCTCACCAGATGCCTTGCAGTAAGAGTCCCCTTTGCCCCTTTCCTGAGCACATTCCTCATGCAACGAGTTGTGGCAGAGCAACCAGTCCCACCTATGTCTCCACTGTTCTGTACATGGGAAAATTAATATCAGCAAAGAAAAGGGGCTTGGGCATAGCCTTTCCACTCTTCAGGATTCATCTGAGCAGGGAAAGTGCACAACATCTTCTGCCTATCCTATAAATCACGTCTCTGCCTGTCTTCCCGGCTCCCAGCGATGAACAGCTGCCAGCCTTTCACAGATCAGAAGAGGTGTTACCAGAGATTATAAAATAAGTTAAAAATGGAATGCAGCAGGAAATATCTTGTTGAAGCAGAGGCTGATAGAGATGCTGGTAGGAAAGAAACCACTAAAATGAAATTATTTTTGGTTAGGCTGTCTCAATATCTCACTGTAAGGAGAGTCAAGCAAGGGCTTCCCAACACCAGCTCCTAGAGGAAACCAAGCAAATGCCAAACCAAATGTTCAGCAAGGGCATGCAGCTGGTGTGCAATAACTGAGAGACCTGGCCTAACTGGATCTTGAAATTAGGAAACCACTGTGACCCAAAATCGGTGTATGGAAATGTGGGGAAGAAGCCCCTAGGTGCAGGTTCAAAGTGGGTGCTCTGTGTTCATAAATGACTGCACTGCCTGGCTGCCCAGTACTAAGACATGCTACAGCCAGTACAAGCTATGAGAAAGGTTGGCTTTGCTCTGCCCTGCAGGAAGCATCTGTGGGCACCAGTCAAGACCAGTGAAACCAGCAGCCTGAGCTCCTCACAGTCAGGAGCTTCCATTGAAGCTGCCCTGGGAAAGCAGAGAGTGAAACCTTGTTCAGCAGCACAGCATGTGAAACCCAAGGGTGATCATGGGGAAGTCTCCTACCTTTGCTTCCCCACATTTCCCCTCCCTGGTGAGGACAACTCTCTTTAGAAACTCTACCAGTTACCTGTGCCTTTTTGGAGCCTCAGGAACTACTTGGAACTGTTTTTTTAGTAAAGGCAAAGGAAATGTGCAGCAGGGTTCATAGCACTGAGGGTCTCAGGCACTTGAAGACGCCATATGTTGACAGAAAGCGGAAAGAGAAAACCAAGGGACATCTTTTGAAAAAACTACAATCTTAGCTTGGGCAAATGTCCTCACGACAGATACTAAGACTGGTCATGGGCTGAAGAAATTCTCCCTTCAAAATATAAGCATTCATCAAAAAAACTGTGAAAACTTTGTTATTCACACATAGTGAAGAGCTATAAAGAGCCCACAAAAGACTAAGCCAGAAGAACATCTTTCCTTGCTGCTTTGGATGATAACCTACCCTTGCAGGTTGACATCACACCTTTCCCAGCAAGGCATGTCTCCAAAGAGCATGGAAGCTCCCCCTGAGCACCCACAATGCTGCCAACTCTCAAGCAAGCTCTTATTTCACATCATTAACATCAGATCTGTCAGAGTTTACCTCCCAGCTCCCCAGTGCCAACTGTCTGCCCTTCTTGCAGCTTTAGGATTTGTGTGGCAATGTCCTTAGGTTAGCACAGAGCAGAGGAATGCAATGACTGGGGCTTGCTGCTTGTTGTTTTAGGTACTTACAGCTTTTGCAGCTTTCCCCATCCTCCCTGCAAAGCCCTAGCATACTGGTGGTAGTAAAGCCCCAGGACCCCACCAGGAGCCAGGATTTCACCTACAGTTTTGCATTAATCAGTGCTAAATCTTTGTTGCACACAGTTACAATGCTCCCACATGAACTTTTTGAAGCTCTTCTGTCATCTGGTTGTGCCTTCTGGTTTGCTAAGATTAATTTCTTGGGGATTTGCAGATCAGTTCAATTCTGGGGACTTGACTCTTGGCACTTATGTCTCTAGAGGTGAAGTGATGGGTCACAGTGTTTGGAGGTGCTCCCCATTCACCCAGTGTGCTTAAAATTCTTATTTTCTCATCTCAAAGTGATCCTGGGCTTTCAAGACATCTCCCAGGGCTCAAGGGAGAATCTACATGGAAAAAAAAATTGCTGATGGTGTAAATGATCAGCCCTCTGCAATCTTCATTGGATCCTGGTATGAGGAAAAGCAATTAAGGACATATTGATCACTGGGCCAATTTCAAAATCTACCCTCAGGGGCCTGACCTACTTTGGACTAAATTAGTTCATTGGCAGTTTCCCCCCTGCTCCCAAAAGTAGCTGCATCCACAAGGACACTGCTGCTCTCCTTGGATGGAAGTGGGGTGACATATCCAGGTGTCCCACCAGCTGGATGGAGCCCACAGCTCATAACACCTAAAGGGATGCATCACTGTTGGGCAGATACATCACAGCTGCCTTCACAACGTGCATCCTCAGGCCAACCCAGAGCTGGCCACCCCACTAATGGAGCAACTGGGAAAAGCTGGACAAACCTATTCTTACTTTTATTTTTGGCAGAACATATCTAGCCTGGAGCCCTTGAGAGACTGTAACAATGGGGTAATCTGCAAGGCCAGTTTTGCCATTGCTTTTTGGAGTTATTTACCAAGGGAAACAGCTGAGGGCAGCAGTTTTTGCCTCCAGATAGTTGGAACAAGGTATTGCAGCCATTTCCAGGCACAGAGCACTGGGCAGGAGAAGGCTTCTCAGTGCTAGGGCCTGGATCTTCTTTATCTCCACCTGCCCCATGGAGCAGACTCAAGTCCATCCCAGATGGGCAGCACAGGCAGTACAGATGAGAGAAGAGGGGTGCACAAGTCCCCAGTCACCCTATGGCTGCCCTGCATAGACCCCTCCCTCCCTAGCAGCTCAGAGGTACCTGCTCATCCTTTTTCTCTTTCCTTCTGAGAGGCTGAAGAAAGAAGTTGCTCTCATTTGGCCCCAAGAATTGCATGCACAGCACTTGCCATGGATGAGATACTTTTTCCCATGTAAAGCAAACTTGGCAACCAGTCTGATCACAATCCCTCTGATTTCCTTGCACCTTTTTCAGATGGGGGTAGGAAAGTAAGGTGTGCATTTCCCTGCCAGAATTGGTTCTCAGGAATGACAATAATCACAACATCTACTGGGTTATTACTTTATATGCATGCATATATGAATACGTATAAGAATGTGTGTATGAGTGTGTGTGTGTGTATGTATGGCCTGTTTGCGGGACACAGAATTCAAGTGACAACCAAATACTTATCTCACCCCTGCCTTCTCCCATTTGCTTAATGTTAAAGTAGGCTGTCATATATATTGTTGGATTTTGGGATGTTAGAGGGACCTCATGATAGAAGAGAGTGCTTGAGGGAAGCTATGTTCTGCCTCTGACATCCTGATAGTCGGGAAAGGCTCCAAGAAATCACAGTCTCCTCTGAACTGGGGTGCAACAATAAAGAGAAAAAAACTTAAATACTGCCCTCTGCTAAAATTCATAAACTTTACAGGCTCTGCGTCTGAAGGTGACGGGGGGGGTCAAACTCAATGAGTCAGTTTGGACCTCTAGTAAAGCTGCCATAAATGAGCAGAGCACAGGGCATAGCAACAGCAAAGCAAAACAGAAATCCTGCTCACTATTACAATGAACAGGGACAGGAGAAAAAAAAAAAAAACAGGTGGGGGAAAAAAAACAATCAAACATGTTCTGCCCACCAAACCTTTCCTGGATACACAGAGTTTTAACTCCGTATCAGTCATGGATCATGTATAAACTGAAACCTCTGTTTGAAGGGTTGCAAAGTGATGCTGGGCTACCTGGCAGGCAGAGCACTGGAGCATGAGCCAGGCTGTGCAGCTTCTTTCTGCCAGTGGCCTCAGCTGACCTCGGGCTTTTTGTCTCCCAGTGCCTCAGTTTCCCCATCTACACAGTAAGCTGTGCTCTTTGTAAAGGGCCACTAGCAGGCAGGAGGAGGGGAGCTGTCTACACTTCGCTAAACCTATGTTTTTGCTGGTTCATTTCCTCTAGAAATACAATATGGGAGGGGAAAGGCATCCAAAATCTGCAGAGGACAGAGGCGAGGCAGGCTGGGGCAGCTGGGCAAGAACTTTCCCATCAGA